TTTATCTGTATTTTATTAGTTAATCACAAACTGTAAGGATATAGTTTATCTATATACATGAGGATATGGGAAGAACATAGTTAGAGCTTATCTATGAGCAATAGTGTTGATAACAATCAGTATATATAGAGCTGCTTCACGGAAAACAATTAAGTTGGGAATATTATTCTGAGTGTAGATGATTGTATAAACCAATATAGTTCGCCCTGCAGATTGTCTAAAATTTGGATTACCAGCAGAGTCTTAGTGATCAAGAGAGTCTGATTTTGAAAAAAAGTAAGTAATATTTCTTTCATTATTTTAATAAGCAATTTCTATTTAAATTAGTTCTTTTTATTTGACATTTTATTTATATTATCTTATATTCTCGAAAGTATATGAAGCATCTTAAGTTTTATTTGTGTTCTATGTTTAAGCTTTCTCATTTTACATACTATTAGTTATATTTTTTCAAAAGTATGTGAGTATTGAGCTACATGAGCTCTTTTTTTAAATAAGGATCTGGCGGATTCATTTATTTAGTATTAGCTGTATCGACTGAAGTGCATGCGCTGATTTATTTACATAAAATGCGTCTTCATCATTAGAAAAATTTAGTTAATACAATATTTTCATAATTTTTCTTTATCTTAAATTAAATTTCAAGAAAGTATATGAGGAAAGTATTTGAAGCAGCTAAAGTTTTATTTGTGTTTCATGTTTAAGCTTTCTCATTTTACATACTATTAGTTATATTTTTCAAAAGTATATGAGTATTGAGCTACATGAGCTCTTTTTTTTAAATAAGGATCTGCCGGATTCACTCATTTAGTATTAGCTGTATCGAGTGAAGTGCATGCGATGTTTTATTTGCATAAAATGTGTCTTCATCATTAGAAAAATTTAGTTAATACAATATTTTTATAATTTTTCTTTATCTTAAATTAAATTTAGTTTGAAACGATAATTTAAAAAAAAATGTATACTTCCTTTTTGATGAAATTACCATGCTTATTTTTTTTATAGATTTTTTATTACATCACGGTGATTTTTAAACATGAGAAAACGTTCTGCTGAGGACCCTACTGACGATTTCAGTGATTCCGAAGTACGTATTTTTTCAAATACAATTTTTAACATATTTCAAATATTGTTAAGGAAAGAAAATGTTATGAAATACTTTTTAATTTATACGTTATAAAATACTTAAATTTCTTTTTTTTTTTAGATTATATCTGAGCTTGAACAAAATTTCTTAGAAATAAATGGAGAGGACATTTTACCTGATTTTGAGCAACATTTTTTGGAGTCAGATAGTTTATTGATTCACCATGTGGAACAAGTATTTGCCGCAAATCCCACTATTTCTCTTCAGAGTGGTGAGGGAGCGGCCAACGAAGTAAGCAAATTTTCTCATATAATCCTAGTTGCATATATGATATGTCTATAGAATGTAAGCGTAACTTTTGTATTATAAATGTCTTTTTGTTTATTTATTTGTTTTTTTTTTTATTTTTTATTTTTATTTTTTTTTAATCATTATCATAATAAAATTTTAATATTATTTTTTTACACAAAAAAAATAATAACTTTGTTTAATACAAAATTTATTTCTTTTGTTATCATTATGATAAGCGTTATTTTATTTTTTTAAAAAAAGTTATGAATGAGTTTTTACTATTTAATGAAATTACTTAAATTTATATTTACATTGTACTATATTGTTTTGGAGTGGAATTTTAAAAAAATCATTTTTTGTTTCAGGATTTTTCCCTTTAAATATGTTTTTAATATATATATATATATTAAATGTTTTTGTATGATTTCAGATTAAAAATGCTGTTCATATTAAAAAACTTGGTGAAAAGGAAAATTTTAAGTTTGGAGCGAAAGAAATGGCCTTTGCTGTGAGGATTGATTCGGACAAATTGTCGACAACAATTAGAAGCTCTCCCCTCCAAACTCTTTTAGATACTCTTCGATATCTGTTTGAAAGGCTTATTAATTTGGCTGCTTCCGGACTTGGGCCAGCTGATCGCCTACGATTTTGTATTTTTTCAGATGCATTGGACCTACCAATTAGTACTTGCCTGACAAAAGTGTCAGATATGACGCCGGATACCGTCCTCAATGCTATAACGAAGGTTTTACAGAGTAAGGATGCCATACCCTTTGATGAAACTTTGAAAATTGACGTCATCACAGTTTTCCAGCCTCCTAATACTACTAACCGATCAAATCCTGGACCCAGTGGATCGGGAAGAACGAAAATAACTAACATCGAAATTGATCGCTTGCGTAAAAGGTAAATTAAATTACATTAAACATGTTAATTTCAAATTATGTTGTTGAGATTTAAAAATAATGTGTGTGTGTGTGTTTTATAGGTCAATATATGCGGTTCCCGATAGTGGTGATAAGATGTGTTGCGCCCGTGCAATTGTGGTAGGATTGGCCATATTAAACAACGAACCTGAAGCAAAAAAGATTCGAGACGCAAGATATGTCTTACAAAAAGATAGAGCTCTTCAGTTACATCAAAATACTGGTATTCTACCAGGCCCCTGTGGAGTTCCCGAAGTCATGAGGTTTGAAAATTATCTTGGAATACAGATTTATGTTGTTTCAAGTGAAAATTTTAATAAGGTAAAATTAAAATGAAAGATTTTTTAATGTTAAATATGCTTTCTTTTTTCTTCTTTCAAATGAACTTAATGTACTTTATTATGCTTCTAGGTTATCTACAAAGGTGCTGAAAACTCACGAAAAATATTTCTCTACTACCACAACAATCATTATGACCTCATCACGAGCATGACCGGTTTCCATGGAAGCAACTATTACTGTTTACCATGTGATGTGCCTTACGATCGTCAAAACCATCACTTGTGTAATTTTAAATGCAAAATATGCTACAGGTATGAATGTACCCCCGATGAAGAAGTGTTTTGTAGAGAGTGTAACAGAACGTGTTCCTCACGCACTTGTTTTCAGAGCCACAAGGAACTAAAACCGAAACAGAAATCAAGTTTTTGTCAGCAAGTATATAGATGTAAGACATGTAAAGTTGTACTAGAAACGTCTATTTGCCCACGAAATAAGCATAAATGCTATCATTTCACTTGTATCGCATGTAAGAAATATGTTCTTCGGGAAAATCATCTGTGTTGCATGACAAGATTGGAACCAACTCCCCCGTCCGAAAAATATATATTTTTTGATTTTGAGACGGACCAGTCGACAGGCGAGCATCATGTTAACTTCGTAATTGCCCAATATTTTAACGGTGAAACAAGAGTTTTTTCAGGATATAATTCCTGTAGTGAGTTCTGTGTTTTTCTTTTTTCGAAAGTGCACAAAGATTTTACAGCGATTGCCCATAATCTCAAAGGATTTGATGGTCAGTTTATAGTTCACTGGCTTATCAATCAAGGTTATTTCTTTTCCTTTTTAATCTTTATCTTTGTATCATAAATCATCATCATACTAATTACTTCTTTTTTTCAGGTCGCAAACCAAGTGTGGTTCCCAATGGGTCAAAATTAATGCGAATCGAGTGTATGGGAGTTACGCTGATTGATTCGTACAATTTCTTACCTATGCCTCTCAGCAAGCTTCCGAAATCCTTTGGAATCGAGGAAATAAAAAAAGGATTTTTTCCTCATAAATTTAACACCCCAGAACATCAGTTGTATATTGGAGACTTACCCGGGATGGAGTACTTTGACCCTGATATGATGTCTGTTACAGGAAGAAAATCTTTTCATTCATGGTATGAGGAAAGACGCAATCACCCCTTTGATTTCAAAAAAGAAATGGAAGAGTACTGCAGGTAAAATTTAAATTATGGAATTTTCTTGTGTATTTTGTGTGTAGATATTTTTATTTATTTAATTTTCTCTTTTTTTTGTAGAAGTGATGTTGATATACTACGGAAATGTTGTCTAAAGTTTCGAGAGCAGTTTTTGGCGGCTAAAGATCCCTCTATCAAAGCTGGAAGAGTAGACCCCTTCCAGTACATGACCATCGCGTCTTCATGCATGGCTGTTTTCCGAGCGCACCACATTCAGGAGGAAACAATAGCGTGCCCGCCACTCCAGGGCTACATTACCACTGTTAGTTACAGCAAAGATGCAATAAGATGGCTCGTTTATCTATCTCGGAAAAACAACATACCTATTCAGCATGCTCTTAACGGCTTGGGAGAGCGAAAAATCGAGGGCGTGTTTGTTGATGGTTATTGTGAATCAACAAAGACTGTCTACATGTACCATGGATGCTTTTTTCATGGTTGCCCGAGATGCTTTGGGGGTGACATAATTAATAAAATGAGCAATAAGCGTATGAGGGAGTTGTATAGGAAAACACAAGCAACAAAGACGAAACTTATTGACGCTGGATTCGAATACGAAGAGATATGGGAACACGAATTTCTAGTTCAGAAGAAGGAAGTCCTCAACACAATAGGCGATGTTGAGATCGTAGACCGTTTGAATCCTCGTGATTCATTCTTTGGAGGCAGAACGAATGCCGTGAAGCTATATTACGAAGGATCAGCTCACTATGTAGACTTTACTAGTTTATATCCTTTCGTTAACAAATATAGTAAATATCCTGTGGGGCATCCCGAGATTTTTACTGAAAACTTTGAAAATATTGATCAATATTTTGGACTCATGAAATGTCGGATTCTTCCCCCAAGAGGACTTTATCACCCTGTTCTTCCAGTCAAGTTGAATAAAAAACTGATGTTTCCCCTCTGCCAAAAGTGTGCTAGTACACTTCAGCAAGAAAACTGTACTCATACGGATGAGGAAAGGATGCTTCTCGGTACATGGGTGACGGAAGAGATAAAAAAAGCCGTAGAAAAAGGATACATCATTCAGAAAGTAAGTAGATTTATTATTAATTATTTATTTATTTATTTATTTATTTTACAATATTTAATGACTGTTTTTCATTTCATTCAGATATATGAAGTTTATCATTTTCCCCGCTCTTCGACCGAACTCTTCTCATCATACATTAATCTCTTCCTGAAAATAAAGCAGGAGTCCTCAGGATGGCCAAGCCATTGCAAGACAGAGTCAGAGAAACTTGCCTATATATACAAGTATGCTGAAAAAGAGGGTGTGGACCTTGAGCATGATCTCGTCTCTGAAAACCCCGGAAGAAGACAAGTAGCTAAATTGGCTCTTAACTCATTCTGGGGTCGTTTAGGCATGAACACAAACAAGGTGCGGCTGGAATACATATCTGACGTAGATAAATTTTTCAAGTTTTTTAATGACGCTACTATAGAGGTAAGCAAAGCACAGTCGTATTTCTATCTTTTTAGTTTATGTTGAAATGTTTTGAATTTTAAATTTTTTTACAGGTGAAGGATATGTATATGGCATCTGAGAACATCGCAGCTTTGCAGTGGTGTCATAAAACAGAGTTTGTCCCACAAGATGTGAAGACGAATATATTCTGTGCCACATTCACCACCGCATACGCCAGACTGCATCTGTATGATCAGTTAGACAAATTAGGCGAGCGAGTAATTTATTATGACACGGACAGTATTATTTACAAAGATGGTGATTTAAATCTAGAGCTTGGAGACTACTTGGGCGATTTGACGAATGAGCTAGACGATGGAGACGTTATCGAAACGTTTGTATCAGGTAAATATGTGTAAAAAAAGGCATTACAATTTTTAAAAAAATTTTAATTGTGTGTTTGTTTACTTGAAAAATATTTTTTCCCAGGTGGTCCAAAGAATTATGCCTATCGGACAAGGAATGGAAAGGAAGTTTGCAAAATTAAAGGGTTTAACATCAACTACAAAAATTCTCTTGTACTAAACCTAGAAGCTGTAAAGGCACTCATCATGGATCATAATCATGAAGTTGAAGTTACAAATCCTGCGAAAATCACCAGAGATGGAAAACGCAGGAAAGTAATAAACAAAGTCGAGAAGAAGAGGTATAANGGATTTTCTTCCACTTCATTTTCCTCCACTGCTTGAGTTGGTTCGTTTTTATTTTCCAAAAAAGTAGGAAATTTGATATACTTTTGAAGAATTTGTAAATATAACTCTGCTTTTTCATTGTCGGAAATATTTTTATTTTTTAAAATATCGTGCATTTGCCTGTCCAAATCGGATAAATATTCCACAGTATTAGTTTGTAATCTATTTTCTGGAACTAAGATAAATTCTTTACCGTGTTCCATTGATCAAAGATGTTAAAGCTGTTATGGCCGCTGGAATCAGAAATCCTAAAAATCCGTCACCTCGTTGAACAAGAACTCCTCTCTTACGGAATAAAGGAACTCTTTTGTCTACAATTTTTCTTAAGCTTCTTTTAAAAGGTGAAAGTTTCTTCTTGTGATTTTTATTTAGAGGAATGTTACCTTTTAACAAATTAAATGCACATTCACAAATATGTTTAATAGATTTAGCTGGACA